ATCTAGTGGCCTTGAGTGCTAATCAAAACAAGGACTATAATGCCTGCTTTAATGGGGTTTGTCTCAGTAATGCTCCTAAATGGAATAAATGATATTAAATCCAGACAAGCTAAAAAGAGAGACAAATAGCAAAACAATACACTGAAAATGTAAAGATTCTTTAATCTATTATTAACTGAGTTACCACCCATGACAGTCACTGTTAACTGTGGTTTTGTAATCCATTTCCTGAATTGTACAACTAGAATAGAAATGTTGTTGTCCTTCTGTTTAAAACAACAGACTAAATAAGGCCCAAATCAACCCACAAAATGGCCTGGCAAAGGCCACACTAGAACAGGCTGCATGTCAATTTTCTTCTTTAAAATTCAGGAAAGCAGCTCCTCTGCAGTTTTTTCTTAAAGTAGAGGGAATTTGACCCCACTGAGGTAGAGGGAGTCCTGCACATAAGCTGAGCCTGTGCACCACAAGAAGGATGCCCTGGGAAGACAAAGGGCCCCACACTCCCCCTCACTGACCCAGTGCTGCAGGGACAGACACTGACTGATACCCACAGGCACTGGGTCATCCTCCTAATGTTCACAGGAAGAGGCACTAAATACCTGGAAGATGAATTCATCGCCATCCTCCTCCTCCTCTGCCTTGTTCCTTTGGCCTTGCTCATCCCTCCTCCTCTGCATATGCTGACCAAATGCACAGAATGCTGAATTTCTTCAGCTTGATACCTCGGAGGATCAGTCACATTTGACTTCCTCAAAAGCAAGTAACTAGGTTTTCTGATGCATCAATTTTGCTGTATTTCCCACACTGTAATGGAAGGATGCATAGCAGCTGGAGGGGAAGGCAGACTATAGCATTTTGGGGAGATCCTTAAGGAAGAGGTGACAATTTATGGGTAAAATGACAGGCAATGTGTAGAGGTAGTGACACTTTTATGTTTGTTTAGATGCAAGAGTGAAATATTTCCAGGGGTCCAGTTTTAAAAGGATGGATTAGCTCTTTGTTCGTGGTGTACACAAAACATAGGATCTTATCTTGAAGAAATTTTCAATAAAGGTCTTCACAAACTGAAGCTGTAGCTTAGGGAACAAAATTCATTCTGTAATTAATGAGTTCCCCCCAGTACTACAGAAAAAAATTCCTGTGGTTTTATTGCTTTCATAAAATGCTTGTTCTCCAGCTCTGAAGGGACTGTGAAAGGTCAGAGGTGTTGAATATACATGATTTATAAAGTCCTCTGGGATGAGATGTGCTGTGTAAATATAAAATATTATTAGAGCATACTCTCTTTAATTCACATACACTGAAATGGAATTGGCTGTGCCACAAGAGCAAAGCTAAGAACCCAAGTCAGTCTGATGACAGCAGATTGTCCAAGGCTACTGACAGTCCAAACAGCAGAAGGATAAATTCATTTCACAGACATATTTACCTAATGCTGAAAGTTACTGCTATTCATCTGGAACTGGTTAAATGTAGATATAAATGTGAAAAATGTGTTACATAGAAATGACTGAACAAGCAAAGATGGTGGACTGCTCTGTCCCACGACGAAAGAGGGGCTTCTGAAAAAGCTGCAGGCACAGGAGCAGCCCATGTAGCCCATCCACCTTCTGCAGAAACTCTGCCTTACACAAGTCTGTTCTCAAGTGTGTGCCAGAGATGCCTGGGATGCCGTGGTCCTCACGTGCTTGTGAAGCACATTCAGATGGCACTTCCAGATCAAAATATGCATCTAATTTACCCCTGGCTTTAACAGAGGCTTCCAAGTTTCCCTTGCGGATTTGAACCTTGAGATTTGTTCACCTCCAGCTGTAGCTATCCAAGGAGACTTCCAAAAAAACACTCTCTCAGAGAACTGGGTTGGAATGAGCTGAACTGGACAAGCAGTCCCATTCCCTCTCAGGGAAGCATAAATTATACTTTCAACCCACTTTTTGGGATTGATTCCAGTTTCTCTTTTTCTTCTGTTCACAACAGTCCATACTTTAACACTGCAATAAATAATCAGTTTGAAGTAGATTTCAAAATATTTTAACAGCTGGAGCAATGACATTCTTACTCGCCTTTACTGTAAATGGAAAAATTCCCATTCTCCCCCTCAAAGACAGAGATTGCAGATCATATTATGAATTCTTTTCAAAACCTTGGCCAAAAGATATCACCAGCACAGTCTGTTCCTCTTCACATTATTATTCCCACTCTCACAGATTCTTTTATCTAACTCCCTTCTGCCCTGAAGTTTATAATCTCCTTCCAAAATTTTTTCAACTGCACTTCCCTTCTCCTAAATTCCCTCTCTCTCATCAGCCTTCAAATAATATGATTTTATTTTAGAAAAATGATGCTGTGAATTCAGCACTACAGAGCAATCTGTTCCTACCTTTTTCCCTGTGCTAAAACACAGAATCCTTTTTGTTTGTTTTTATTTAAAGGCAAAATACAGCCCTTTAGCAAAAGTATATGAACTTCCTGCCCATAAAGGAAAAAAACAAAGTTCTTACTTTTGACTGTATTAATGCTTTCCCATGAAAATTGATACATCTGTCTGGGAGATAAAGGAGATTTGGATTATCTGTATTCAAGAGAATAATTAAAAGAAGACATTGCATAAAATTATTAGATTTTCTAGCCACACAAGTTTGGTTCTGTGATAAAGTCATTCTCATCTATGCAGAACACTTCTCATCCACACAAGAGGGGCTCCTAACTTCCTCTGTACTGAAAAAAAACTATTGTATTTTCACTGATGACGTTTAATATTTGATTTCTTCTACTTTCTTTAAATAATTTTATAGATTTGCTCATTTGGATATAGGTAAATTGCTGTAGTAGTGGCAGACAATGACACTTTCAAGGCTACACTATACATGATTAATCTTTGCTCCAACTGAGATCATTTATCATATGGAGACTACCCTTCCTGTTTGTCTTTTCCTTGTATTTTCAGTTCTCCTTTCGTATTAAAGAGAACAACAAAAATCATTACGGGTTTTTAACCTAAGGAATGACATTTTTAGCTCTGAGGCCTATGTGTAAATGTAAATTTCCAGCTGTTATAACAAAGAAATAGCAAATGTGAGGCAGACATTAATATATTACCCATTGTTGGTAATAAAAACAAAAATCAACCTTGAAAAATCCCCCAGCTATTTCAGTAATGAAAGCTTACTCACTTGGGCATTTACATGAACCTGTGCCTTCAGAAATAAGATCTAACTAGTTTCTTGCAATCCACGGAGTCTAGACAAATTCTTTGTGTCGTTTCTTCCTCTTCAGATATTAACAATCCAAGGGCTAGAACATACAGCCAGCGAAATCACCTCCAGATGTTTCTTCTGCTTAGCAATCTGGGGAATGCCCAAAGACCATTTACTGCACAATGAAATCAAGTGGAATCTGGGAGGATTCTGGATCCTGTGCTGCTTTTCAGGACAAATTTCAGTACCAAAAGTTAAATCATGTCTTTGGTTTCTATCAAGCACCACTTGAACATAAGTCTTCACACACTTATGAAGCCAGTTCAGGCAGAACTGATGAGCAACCACTCTGAGCTCCCTAGGAGTTCTGCTTTCCTTTGAATTCACCGGCTGAAAAACCACAGCATGGCTGTGAGTGAAACAAGGTGCTTCTTACTGAATCTAGCATATTTGTTGCTTCTACCATCTTCTAACCCTTGAAAACTTCTGAATTTACTGTCCTGGCACAGTGAACGCAACTCATAGTCAGTGGCATGGAGGAGCATGGACATTCAGAGTGTACTTACAACTTTAGGTTTCCCTCCAGAGAGTCTCCAGCCTTTGTTTAGCCCTCACAATAGCACATCTCTCATCATCTTATCTCTCTCATCTCCCATCATTCTCCCCATAGACCTTGGATCCCCATGAATCCTGAAAAGTCCTTCATTCTAGCATTAATACAGCAGCAACTTCCTAATGCCTTGTGTCAGGCACATTTGTGTTTGTAATTCCTTTCACACTAGGCAATTCATTAAGGGCTCTGTTTTGATTACCAAAATGTGTGAACACAATTTTGTATCTCATCTATACAGGGTCACTCTTATGTCAGCTTGTTTCTGACTGCAACAGTCTTTTCCCATCCTAAAGGCAAAACAGTGTTTACATTTGGTTAGCTAAAATATTTACATTACACATTGAAATGATGCATTTTCCCAGTGACAGGGCTCTCCCTGGTATTTCCTCCAGTACCTACTATGCAGCGGAAATGATTAAGATGAATATTCTGGATGTCTCTAAACAAGCAGATTAAGGAAATATGCAGCACAGCTGTACTATACTAACACTGCTAGACTTTGTAATATGCATGCAGGCTTGTGAATTGCCTAGCATGAAAGGCAATTAGGACTTTTAGGATGCCAGATCAGAAGAGTTCCACATTTCCTCATCAATTAATTTCAAATAGATTCTTCATTTATTGACATTATTTGGTGACTCAGTGCATGAAGCCCTGGGAAAGGAGGTGAGAATGGTGCTGTTCATTGATCATCAGTCTGCTTGTGGATAAAAGCCTCAAGTGTACTGTGTCTGCAGGGAAATAGAGATGATGGGGACTGCTACCCAGAGAGAGATGAATGTAGAACAAAAGGCGACACTAAAGCTGGCAGGGCAACGCACAAAGTGATAATATTTCTGGGAATCAGAAAACACACTGCACACTCCTGTTTTAATGTAACATTACCAAATTGAATAAAACACTGCGAGTGATGCTGCACCAAGAGGCCCTCCAGCCAGACACACAGCATGAGCATCTCCCCAAAGGGACAGTTTGAGGCTCCTACAGAGGAACTGAAATTCAACATCATTTAAGACATGTCATCATCTACACTGTAAACCATTAGTCTTGCTCATTTATTTGTTAATACCAAACAAAGGAGTCTCTCTGAGAAGAAATTAAATAGAGTGTAGCAATTTCTCACACAGAAACTCTGTAGCAATGCAAAATTAAGAACTTAAAGAACATACCTAATACGTATTCCTTACCTTATAACATCATCCACACAGGTCTTCATACAGGCTCTCCCAGTGAGGAAGCCAAAGCTTCTGGGCTGAAACACCGATGAAACACCAGTTACAACACTATCTCAAAACCCCTGCCTATGCTTATATCCATCCCAAACTCTGCTGCATCTTTTTGTTTACAGAAACATATACAATAGACTGAAGTCAACTTCGTAAGCAAAAGCTATTTATTTTAAATTGACCCTGCCCTCTTAGGGTCATATACTCTGAAGGAAATGGGTTATAAAAGTCTCTGTATAAGCGAGGCACTCAACATCTAGCAAACAAATATCATGCGGGATTATTTTGTGTGGGATCTGTATTTACTCCACTTTTTAAAACTAACAGTAAGTGAAATTTTGTTTGCCAGTTAAAACCAATCAGTAAAATAAAAGTAACAGGCTCTACACCAGTATAAGGCAGTGTATTCAAAATAATAAACATCCAATTTTGAGTTAACCTAAAAGCCTGCATGGAGGGAGTGAGCAGGCTCATTACCTGCCCGCCTGGTGCCCAACCAGCCCCACCACCAAGCAGGCTGAGGGGTGTGTAGGGATTAGTGGGCAGGACACTCCTGCAGAAAAGGGATGCCAGAAGGCCCTGGGCTGCATTTTTAGCCACCAGCTAGCAGCCTCACAGTTTTAATTCAGCTCTTTGAAACCCGATTTCCTTTGGCCATCCTCGGGAATACAGAGTTTGCAGCTCCCAGCCTTTGGCTAGCCAGCTCACAAAGCCTCGCTGTTTTTGGCAGAGGAACGCCTAGGATGATGGGCAGCGGCTGCCACTGTCACTAGCAGGATGTTTTCTGGAGTTTCTCCTACAAGGAAATGTGTTTATTCTTTGAGACAGTTGCTCCCTAAAGATTAAAACTGAGCAGAAACACAAAAGCAGTGTGTGTCCTCTGGGGCTGCTATGTGCCATCAGGCAAACAGGAGGTACAAGCTGTGTTCTCCCAAATTACACAGAACAAACGGTGCTGCACTGGCAGAACCGAGTCAAGTTCTTCAGTACACAAACTGCACTCTCCTCATTTTAACCCCTTCTTAGGAAAAAACCTTTCAAACACCACTTGTGTTATTAAGAGCTCCAGATTTAGATTTTTGAGCGGGGGGGGGGGGGGGGGGGGGGTGGCTCTTCAAAGCAGCTGAGCCCGTTCAGCCCAAAAGCATGTCAACCTGGGCACAAAAAATTAGCAACAGCCACAAGGTTTGTGCTTTTAGGACCATGTTTGTCATCATCTCCAAATAGCAGCACACAGTCTCAAAAACAGACTTAACAACCACAAAGAATAGACAGCAATATGAACAGCAAACACTCAGAAAAAATATATCTTTACTTAGAAACTAAAAAAATTAGTAATTTAAAAACCACTAAAATAGGACTGAAGTACCAAGAGCACATGAGAAATACTGGCACAACAATGAAAAATCTGTTTGGCACAGTCTGTGTAATCATAGTTATTGCAAGGTGGCTGGAAAAATAAATGCAACAATGATTTTTCTTTCTGCTGAGATATGTGCAGCAAATGTTAATTTTTTTACCACTGTACAGGATGCATTGTACTCCAGGGAGTACCTTGAGAGGTGAGGAACTGTCTCTGGTAATAAGAAGTATTTACCTTGCCTAATGGCTATATAGCAATATATTTCTATTAGCAGAATTAATTGAATACTGCATATAAATAGTAACCTTTGGCTTTAAAAGTAAGATGGAGAAGGAAACTAAATAGTCTTTTCTTCCTCTGATGAGAACGCATACAGATATTACTGGTAATGCAAACTAAGCCAACATAAAGGGGAACAGCCAAACTTCAATAACCCTCAGCACGATGCCACCATGAAGCTTTATTCTCCTGCGGAGTACAGAGGACTTCATAACTTTCCTCTCTGTGGTATCACTCTTATTTCAATAAACAGCCAAAGAGCGGCAACAGCCACTCACTTATGCTACTCTAAACATAAAAACATTACCTTTGATTAACAAGGACTCCTCATCCTAGACCCTCTTTGCATTGTGCAGAAGGCACCGGGAGAAGCTGTTCAAGCAGTGCTCTGAAGCTGTCTCGGGCACCCGGGCAGCTCCGGAGCTCCCGAGCCCAGTCCCGCTCAGCGATCCCGCATGCAGGGCGCAGATCCCGCCTCGGCCGCCGGGCGGGCACGGCCCGCCAACAATGCCGCCTCTGTCCGCCCGCCCGGCGAGCAGGGCCACACACACACGCTCATCCGCAGCCCCTCTTCTTCTCGGAGCACAGGGTGGTGAGAAGGAACGGGAGGGAAACGCTGATGTGTCTGCGATTAGCCAAAGCTCCGCCGTGTCCAGCAGTGGGACGGAGTAAGCGCACAACGGGACCCGGGCGCCTAGAGAGAAGATGGAATCTGCGCTTGGCAAGAGCCCTCCCTGCCTCGCTTCACACATTTTTGTTTCGGATCCGTGGGTGGTTGCATGAGCAAGCAGCCAGAATAGGGGAGGAGTTAGACAAAATGCAATTTAGGACTTGGAAGCCTTGTCTGCCTTTTTGAAGAGGAGAAATCGCAGTGCCCTGACAGAGCAAGGTGCCCTTCCCACCTGCCGGGAAAGCGCCTGTCCCTGCCTGCCGGGATCCCGGGACAGAGCACAGACACAGCCGCTGCTCTCGGTCCCCCGGTAACCACACTCGAGAGCCTCTGGGCACGGTGGCTGTTCGCTCCTGCCCCACAGCATTACCAGTTTAATTTTCAAGGAGGCACGATGCTTCACGATCTTCATGAGCAACTAGAGGATGAGACAATAAACGACATCCTCAGCAGATGTTTACAGCTGTCACTAGGCAGAGGAGGAGACAGCAGCAGCTTAAATCTCAGTTTTCTACAAAGCTTTCCTTGGAAATCAGAGAGGCAAGGCCAAAAGCCCTTTTAAAATCAGATGTCCATAGTTTTCTTGTTTTGAAAGGACTATCATGTGCATAGTTCATGCAACTTCAGCTTTGCTTTTCTTCCTATGAGAAAATGAGAAGTAATGTCTGCCTCAAGATGAGACAGTGATGATTCCTGCTGAAACCAACTTGAATATACAGTTTAATTCAAATATTCACAAGGCCAAGCTGTATGACAGATGTGAGATGTTTCACGTTCCTCCACATTAGTGCAGATCTAAAAACATTGCAAGTGAAGAGAGCAGCAAGCAACATTGTGTTTTCTTCTTGAAGTAAATACCAAGGGACACACAGCCCTTGGGTGCAACACAGCTATGAACTCATTCCAGTCCCTGATGAACCATGGCAGCCTTACTGTATTTTCCCATGCAATTAGTATTAATTGGTGACTTGCTGGCAATCTCCCAGGGGCCCTATCTCACCCTTTTAGCCAGCCCTACAAGATCAACCTTGAGATGATCATCAGGGCTAGGCAGCCATCCTGCTGCCCCACCTCTCAGGGCTCTTTCTTGCTCTTGTAATTTTGGGGACTCTGGCAAGGGTTATCTTGAGTAACAAACAATCAAAGATACACCTCTTCCAAATTAATATATTTGAGTTTGTAACATGAGACAGCAAAGTAAGAGGGTCACTTCTAGAAGGAATTTATAAGCACTTTAAAAAAATATGTTGTTTGGAAGCATTTCACTGAAGATAAACTCCAAAATAATTTTCAGAAATGAGCAGCAATGCTCAGTTCAGTGTCTGGATGGAAACGGACCTGTAAAACTCTGCATCTTGTACTCAGAATTAAGCTGATACAGGACAGCTGTAAACAAGCAATAGTTTCTTCTAATTTTATTATTAAATGACAATTCTTAAGGATTTCCTTTTATATATTAATAAGATAAAATTTGTCTTAAGCATCTTGTCAAATGGAGTTAAGCAGGTTCAAGAGTGCTTTATTTCAGCAGAGCTCCACAACTCCATGGCAATAAACAAAATCAGATGTTCTTTGACTGAACATTGTACACATCTAGAATATATTTCAGAGTAGCTTCCAGGGGCATTTTCACACTACAAATCTCTTTTTGCAGAAAACTTTAAAAACTGGTGCTGAGGTGGTTATTCAGAGTCAAAAGGATGTCTGAAAAGAGAAACGTGCAGCGGTCAGCCTACAAACACCACTCGAGATCTACTAAAGGATGAAACATCTAATGGTAAAATACATTAGGAAATGCTAGTGGCCAGAGGCAAGCAGAACTACTTCAACTAAAACAGGTTAAGTATAATCAAGAGCCATGTCCAACAGGGGAGCTTTATTCCTTCTCCTTTTTCTGCTTCTCTTAAGTTTCCAGTCCACATAAATGAGTGGTCCTTGGTGTAACTCTTCTCATGTCCCTTTTGTCTTTTACTGTACAACATTCAGAAACCACAATAAAATAAATAGGTCCCTAAAAATTGTGTATTTTGGTTTGGAGGTAGTTAAGAACACCAAAGATGCTTGCTTCTCTTGGAAATCTTGAGTCTGGAGTGGAGGAGCCTGCTGTGCCATCTTACTTCATCTCTAACAAGCTGTACCTTTAGATTTTACTCGAGGGATCATGTACTCAGTGTACATAACCTCAAATGTGAAAGCCAAAACTCAGTCTCTACACCAGTCAACAGATGTAGAGAGATTTATCACTTACATGTAAGTTGCTTAGATGACATGGTTTAATGAGTTTTTCTTCAGAGATACTTCTCCTTCTGAATCTTTGTGATTCTACTTGATTTTCATTTTTTAAAGACCTTACTGTCTTTTTTCCCCACATCTATGGCAAGTAAAGATCGAGATATTATTTGTCAGGGCCCCATGAAAAAATGAATACTTTCAGACTGTTCTCAGAAATATTTTAGAAGTACAGAAGAAAACCTCACTTTCACTGGTGTAATTTCCCAGCAATTCCATTAACTTGCAGTATCTCTGGATGTACACCATCAATCTGAGATAGTCCTCACCTCTATCTCACACATGCTTATCTTTCAAGGTGTATAAAACCACAAGGATATTACTCAGGGCAGCTTAGGTGGCAGAAGATTTCTGTCATTCAATGGAGGGATGGATTAAGGAACCACAGAATAAAAGTTTCAGAGAAGAACTTCTCCATAAAAACA